ATAGATAGATAGATAGATAGATAGATAGATAGATAGATAGATAGATAGATAGATAGATTTATATATAGATATAGATATATGAAGATTCAGATAAGGCCCTGGCTCTATTCATATGGCATCATGCATGTATAAGGAGTTCCGAGTTTTCTGGTTTTGGCACTTTAGCAAGGAAGTTGGGAAGGGAAGTCTCTTTGAGTCTGAGTGGTTTAGGTTTAGTCCTGCCATTTTTTTCTGTAAAGCTAGCTTCTGGTGCCAAGCAGGCCATTGTAAAATCTGATTAATTATGAGATATCAAATCACTGTTAATTCTCAAATCGATACTTCTTCTTTGGGACAATCTGTTCCAGAAGTATCTACACATTTACATTCAGTTTGTAGGTGAGAGCTCAGACCATAGAAGAGCTGAGGTGGTGCAGTGTTAGAGTGCAATACTGCAGGCTACTTCATCTGACTGCTAGCTGCAGTTCAGCAGTTCAAATCTCACCAGCTCAAGTTTGACTCAATCTTCCATGGTGGGTAAAATGAGGGCCCATATTGTTGGGGGCAACATGCTGACTCTGTAAACCGCTTAGAGAGGGCTGTAAAAGCACTACAAAGAGGTATATAATTCCAAGTGCTATTGCCAAGTGCTGTATAAGTCTAGGTGCTATTGCTACAGAAATCACAATGAAAACAGAATGCAAGCTCTTTTGTTACAAGGCAAGCTCTTTTTCAGTAGAAAAGGTGACCAGTCAATGAATCATAACAATAGTTTCAAAAAAGCCCTTGTCACTTTAAAGTAGCAGGCAATGCATGATTTTTTTTTTAAAGAATAAAGCACTAAAGTTGTTTTAGTTTCAATATCATCAATGGTCCCATACCTGGAGTGCCTCTGTTCTAAGAGTTGTTCATTCATGGAAGACTTCCGGAGATGGATCCTCTCCACTCCAAGAGTTTTGGGTGGTGGAGAGGCTGGCAGAGAGATTATTCTTTGAACTGCCACAGTAAGGGAAGTATTGCCTGTTTAAAAAGAATTGATTGGAAGAAACAACATGATTTTGTGTTACCTAATCCTTACATAACCCTTTATATTTCTACTGAAAATAAATATTCCATATCTTCCTTTATGAAACCGAGTTACTTTCACAAAACCATGGAATCGGGGATGAAGAAACAAATTAAGACTATTGAGACCTTACTACTGTTCAGTGATGAATCCAAATTTGATCATTTCACACAGGTGGCTGCATACTGTCTGGATTAAATTACATCCAACCAAGAAAAGCCAACTCAGGACTCAGTCATCTTTTAATTAAACACCCTTATTCCATGCAGAAAACTGTGGGATGACAACTGGTTTTCGCCTAGTCCTAAAGAACTTTGAGGTTGCATCATGCTAAGGCTGTGTTTTGATTGGACAATTTTGAAAAGAATTTGATACAAATAAAACTGGAATGATTTTGACCTGAAAGTTCTATCTTTAATTCAGCTAGGATTTCAAAGAAGTCCAAATGGATAGATTCCATTCAAAATCTGGAGCAGGATTAAACCTTTAAGCCACCATAGTTTTTTTATTAGCCGTTTCTTACTTGCCTTACTGTTAACTATTGTTTGAAACTTTTAATTGATCACATCACTCATTTTTTTTCTTTTCCCAGTTAGGCATTTCAGAATGCACTATATACATGATTAAAAATAGTAAAATACCTTTAAATGCTAATAAACTAGCTAATAAACCGGTCAGTGGTTGACCACTTGTGGAAAGCTCAAGCCATTTTTATCATTTCCAAGTAAAAAATTATGCACAGAAATTGAGAATTCCATTTTTTTCTCTGCTTCAAAACATGACCATATATGATTCCATCCAATGCTGGTAGGCTCACAGCTTTGTTCTGGAGACTGACCAATTGGAAAACGCTGCCTCATCAAAAGGCAAGAATTTGTTACACATTTTTTACGTGGTCTTAAGTAGGACAATGAGGTTGGGTTTTTTTAGGACTAATGACTAGTCAAGGGAGTGTAGCTAACCCAGCCCAATATTAGCTGGCAGGAAGTAAGAAACCCAGGTATCATTATGGCACCACTGAAAGATTAAAAAGGATTGCTTGTTTATATGAATTAAATGTTTGTGAAGATTAGGGGATTATATCACCGTACTGTCTTTCTTCTTTAACCCATTAGCACTTGAGTTTCTTTTTTAATATAAAAACCAATGGCTCAGGACTATAATCTTCTTTAACTATCTGGGATCAGTTTGGCTGAGAATTCACTGGTGCGGGGAATAATCACATTGAAGGTGTTTGATAGACCNTAGGATTAAACTCTGAACCTTCCAAGTGGGAGGCGAGTGTCTTCATCACTAGACTACCACGTCATTCCTTAGTCTATATTTTAATAAAATTGTAGAATTACAAGCAAGTTGGTATTTCATTGCTGATGAATAAATCCTACATACCTGAAATAATTTGTAAGTGAACAGTGAATCACCTGTACAATCAGCACAATAACATTCAACTAAATAGGTAAAATATTGTCTTGCATGAATATTAAAAATGAATGCGTTTAAGGTGGGCAATGGTAAACCCTTCAAACTTAGGTAATAGTATGACACTATTACTTCTCCTAAAGCAACATAATTCAAAAGTGGGCATTCTCTGTTAAACCTTAAATGCCCATTCTATAGTCCTTAAAACATGAGACAAACTTATTTGTGTATGTGTGATTTACAAAGTAAAATGACATTACTCAAGAGTAAACCAAAATGACGCTGAAGTTCATATATAAAATACTAAATCCCTGAACTCATTAAAACCCAAAATCTCTTCCTCCCAAACCTGCCACATCCATTTGTGTAAAACCATAATAGCCTTGTCCTTTGTACTTCCTGGCCCACCCCTTTTTTTCGGGCTGACTCAATTTCTAGGTTTGAAGACTATAAGCCCATTTAGTTCTACTGTACCTAAAAATAATTAGAAATAAAACTTCCTGTTCAAGAATTCTGATTCAAAGATATTTATGCATCAAATTCACCGCAACTGTAGCAATTCAACTGAGAACTATAGTGGACACACCTAGAGGTTTTGGCCATGGTATGCCTTTTGCACACGAATGGGGTGTGTGCAATACTTTAACTCAAGTGAGGAGGAAAAAAATAGCATGGGAATGACTTACTGCAAGTGACTGCTACTGTAGGCGTTGCGTGTGAGGACTGGTGTTGTGGGCATACTTCTTCCTCCATGGTGTTGTCTCTCGGCTGCCCGGTATGGACTGCTGTGAGTTGACAGAGAATCTCTATGATTAGAAACAAAGGGATCTAGTGAACACCATCATCCCAGTATCTTCAAACCAATGCAAAGAGTGCCAGCATGGATACTGTTTTGCTACAGGCTGACAATGCAAGAACANTCATTGAGTTAACCTCATAGGGTTTGTTGTGTTTGGGGAGCTGGGTCAGAACACAGAGGCCATTATTCATGCATTGGACTGAAGCATGGAAGATCTCTGAGGAACATCAACACAAAACAGAGCAGTTACAAAAAAACAACAAGCGGTATAGTTACCTATAGAGAAAGAAGATGAATGACTGCTTTGACAACTTAGCATCTGTAGTCCTAGGCCTCTCTGGGACTCTCGATCAGCATCAAGGCCCGCCTGCAAGCCAAGAACCTGCTCTTTTTGTCCAGAGGCACGCTGGTACCAGCCACGGAGATGCTCCGCAACCAAGGCCTTGTGAATGTTTTTGGTGATATGCTCTGTTTTCATTGACGGCTTCCGTGGCAAGCGCAGTGTGGCGTATGGATTGTGGGGCACTCTTTCCATTTCATCTTCATGGAAAGATCTGAATTCCCGATACCGGCGTTCGTACCCATAGGGCGCTGAGGAACGATAGGAAGGGTTCACCGTGTATTGGCCCTCCGTGCCGTTCTCATAGACATAGCCACCGTTGTAATATACATCACCCTCTTTAGAAGGGGCATAGCCAGAAATGTAGCAACTGGTTGGCATCTGTCCTTGCTTTTTTGCGTAAACCCCATTGCAGTTGTCCTTCTGGGCTAGGTTAGGCATACTTCCTGAGCTGGAAGCAGAAATGTTCTGTTTCTTGGACCGCCTCCTGTTTCTAGTGCGGTTGTCAAGGGTTTGGGTGCTATAACAGGGCTTTGAATTTGGGGTCATGCAGTAATACTCTGCACTAGATTGGCTGGTGTAGGAGGATCCGTCATCAAGGATTTCTGTGCTGCTACTTCTTTGGGATTTTGAAAGGGTGAACATTGGCTTTTCACTGGCGGTTTCCGATAAGAAGGTAGTTTGGGTCTCCAAACAGTGCTGAGGGGATGTATCGGGTCTGAAAAAAACAACAGGTTTTTGTTACAAGGAAAGCGGACTGTCAGTTCCAATAACATCATAGAGCAGGGGTGTCAAACTCAAGGCCCGGGGGCCAGATCCAGCCCACGGGGTGCTTACATCTCGCTTGCCAGGCCACCCTGGAAACAGCGAGGGATCAGCCTGCAGTGCCTCTGCCAGCAAAAACGGAGCTCCATTTTCGCTGGCAGAGGCTTGCAAGAGCCCATTGCAGTTGGAAATGGAACTCGGGAGCTTGTTTTTGCTGGCAGAGNATAGTGGCTATTGAAGAGAGAAGAAGGGCTACACAGCCCCACAACATTTGCTGCATTCTGCACAAATGTTAAAACAGTGCAGTGTACTGGAATCCCTAACATCATAAGCACTTATTGAGGGCAACTGACACTGACAAAAGGGATATATTTAATTTATTCCCAGAATATACTGAAATCAAACCTGCAAAACTCTCTCTGCAATTGTGTTTTTAATGAACTGATATTTTTTTAAAAAAATCTCAGATTTTTCAGTTCAGAGCTGAAAAGAGATAACCACAACAAGAGAAAAGGAAGAGAGGAGAGGAGAGTGGAGAGGAGAGGAGGAAGAAAGAGGAAAGGAAAGGAAGGAGGGAAGGAATAGAAAGAGAAGGAGAGAGGGTAGGAGGGGGAAGACGAAGAGAGGAGTAGGGGAGAGGTAAGTGAAGTGGGAAAAGGAAAGGAGAAGAGGAAGGAAAAAAGTATGGAAGGGAGGGAGGGTGAAAGGAAAAGAAAAAATAGGGTGGTGACAATACAAAGTAGGTGCATGGGATGGTTAAGAAAAGCAACCCGGGATGTATATTTTAACTTTTTAAATGGAAAAACAAACATGTAAAAGTGATAATGATAAATAAGAACAATAACTATGTGAATGTATACTTGTAACAATACATAAGAGAACAAAAACAATAAACTTTAAAAAAAATCCTCATGACCAAAAGAAGGGAATCATACTGGATCATTGGAGAGCATCTGGCTGCCTCTCACTGATCTTCACAGTTTTGTTTTTGTTGTTCAGTCACTTAAATTGTGTCCAACTCTTGCAATCCCATGGACCATAACACGCCAGGCTCCCCTGTCCTCCCGTCTCCTGGAATTTGCTAAAATTCATGTTCATTTTCTCAATGACACTATTTCACCTTCTCATCCTCTCCAATCCCCTTCTCTCTTTTCCCTATAACCTTTCCAAGCTAAGTGTTTACAGTTTTGCTTTTATGATTCTCTTTGACTGGAAAAAGGCCAGGGAAGATTATTTCCTTTTGTCCTTGTATGTCAATGTATGTCAAGAAAGGGAAACGCTAGAACTACGGAGCATAGTTAATCAATGCATGACTTTTTTCTAAGGTCATAAATTGGTAAGGTGGTGCCAACTCTACTCTAAACTGAAGCTCTTAATGCTAGAACAAAAGGTGAGGTATAAACTGCAGTTTGAAAATTAAAGTAAATGCCAGGCCGTTATCAGAAATAATGCTGATGACAAGAGAACAAATGCATCAAGAGTTGTCCAATTCCCGGGTTCACTTGCACATCACTCCCGGAAATGTCCAGTAAGCTTTCTACCCAAGGAATGGACTCCTTGTGGAATACGTTTGTTGAATTATTAATTGTTGCTGCCAGTTGTCAAAGCTCTAATCAGTTTCTCAGCTTTCATTGTAAGCCACTGGCAACATTCATAGTTTTTTCCAGCTTCTTCAAAGAATCCATTTTTGGTATTCAAATTGTTTCCCCCTATGAAAATGCTTATGTATAATTCTAATCTGCCTAGCTTTCTGTTTGATAAAGTAAGTGAAACAGAACTTCAGTTGCTTATCCCTGTATCAGTTGGTTTCCCAACAATCAAGGCATTTAGGGAGCTCTCCTACACACATTTCAATTTTTTTCAAAATGCAGACATCAGCACTGGGCCAAATCATTCATACCTATCTTATACCTTCCCTCCTACTTGTCTGCCCAGCAGGGAGCTGTTTACAACTAGATGAAGTGAATGCCTTATCTGAACTCCCCAAAGTAAAACACCTGAATGCCTGGGGCTTTCAAAATTAAATCACTGCAAACACACTGGCTTCTCAAACAATAATAATTTCCACATAATACCACTATTGTTGGTAAGAAAGAAAATGTCTGGATAGACCATTGTTTTTTCTACCCTGGCAATAAAAATATATAAAATCTAATAAAGTGTAAGAAAGATTGTCTATGGTGATCCTCAGTCATCCAGGTTATAGTTGTCCCAAAGGTGCTTTTTCAAGAGACAACTGGACTTTCTAGTTTTTCCTTAAAGACATTTTGCTTGTCATTCAAGAAGGTTCTTCAGCTCTGACTGTATGGTGGGAAATGGAAGGGTTTAAAGCAGGAGTGTCAAACTGGCAGCCTGCGGGCGTTACACCAAGCCATGCCCACCCCAG